CTTTGTCTTTAGGTAATAGCTTACTGAACCGATTTATACCTGAAACTGAAATTGATGATTAACGAAAAGGGAAAACCTACCCAATATATGAAAATTGGTTGTGGTCCCGGTTCTCGGTCCGGTCTGACTGGGCCGTTTTCTCAAACCTAGTTAGTAGTAGTAGTAGTAGTAGTAGTAGTTGTCACACCCCCAAACCTGAACGGCGGAAACATTTGGGGGCGGAGGACGTCATGTACATTATTATAAGAATTGCATAGTAAAGAAAGTAAACATAACCATCATATACATAATTGAAAAAGTTACATGATTGTAAGTGTTACATGTTTCAAAAGTCAATTACAATATGATGTCAAAAGATTTAGTGAACGCCTTAGCGTCAATCTTCAAAAGTTGTTGATAACATGTTTTAATGATTCCCTGAGAATACAAGTTATTTGAAAAGTGTGTCAACATTTAAGTTGGCGAGTTCATAAGCAGTTGTATGAGTAAATGTATGCCATTTATAGGTTCATATTTGTTTCCAGAAAATCCGATATTTTCTATAAAATGAGTTATGATTCGTTGTGTCTAAATGAATGTATTAAACCCGAAAAATCCTATATTTTTCCCATAATAATGAATTTGTAAAATTGTTTGCTTGTAAAGTGTTAACGTTTAATCCGTAAAATCCGATATTTTCCTTAAGGCTGGAATATAGTCTTAATGCTCCATGACCGTAAAGTGTAAGTAAATATGTCATACTTAGCTTGATAAAATATAGTTTTATTAATGAATAAAACTATTTGAAGGCTTGTATTTTCACGTAAGAATGAATATGCTATTGCTTTTTTATGTAAAAACATAATATCGTATAGTCATTTATCCTGTGAGTTTTCATAACCTTGCTAACAAATAATTTGTCTGTCTCGACGTTCTTTAGGCGTCGCATGCTTGATATTTGTCACCCCTGGGATTGTAGCTAACAGTCAGGGTGCGAGGTCATCAATCTCGTATAGATCTATACACAAGTATCTAGCTCTCCAGAAGGAGATTCAGGTTATAAAACAGGACTTTCTTGTATGCCTTGATAGGTACGATGAAGACGAGTGTCTCACAAATTCCCAACGAGTTTACGTATTTTTGAAATGAACGTATTTGTATCCGAAATTGTTACCCTTATTATAATGTTTATAAAACGTAAAAATAATTGTATTTTTATATAAACATTGTTTTGTCCCGAAAGAGTAAAATGATATGAATGTTGTCCAAACTATACCTATTATAGTTTAAAATGTATATTTCACTAAAATGATAACCATTTCGTTTTGATATGTTTTTTTGTAAATATTTGTACAGTTAGTAATAATGTGGTTTCGCGTAATTGGTATTTTCACTAAATTACACACAAAGTATAAGAAAGTATAAAACAACGGTTTGTATTTTAACACAAGTTTTCTTGTGTTATACTTGTATTCTCCCCCTAAAACATAGAAAATCATTGAAAAGCGTAGGAGTATGAACTCACCTTAAGTGTGATAACGGGATTGAAACGGTGATTTCGATTTAGGACTCGTAACGATACACGTAACCTAAGGTTTTAAATGCATATAAATGTGTGAATAATCGATGAAATCATAACCTATTGGTTGTATAACACCTAAAATTGAAAGATACTTACCAAGCTTAAAACTTGTGCTTAAGGGGAATGATCACCAGGAGTGATATGTGCTTGAAATGAAAGGAAGAGGGTTTTGATACTTGAGAGAGTTTTGAGATATTTGTTTATTGAGAATGATTTTTGTGAAGGCATAATTCGTGAGTATGGGATGTATATATTGAAGAAGTTAGCAAGTTGATAAGAAGTGAAGTTTGATGTGATATTTACCTGGGTAAGATCAAATATCACATTGGGAAGCTGCATGGATCAATCAAGTGGCAACACATGGCATCTTCAAAGGGTAAATTTGGTTGTTAAAGTGTAGAATTCTATACAAAAAGAAAGGGAAATTGGTCTTAAGGTCAACAAGGAAGGATAGAAATCGGTTTTGGGTCAAAGGGAGAAAAGAATTCGGCCTAGGCTTCTAGAAGGAAGTAGAAATCGGTCCTAGGTTCCATCCTAGTTCTAAATTTGGTTCTATCTTGCATCCTAGATCTAAATTCAGTCCAAGCTTCCATCCTAGATCTAAATTCGATTTTGAAGTTGTGAATTGAATCTTAAAACCGAATTCCATGCATACTTGATATATAATATGATTTTAAATAAGTAATATACCAAACCATGCACATATATAAGTATATATGCCTAATTGTATACTTCTTTGAGTTATTTATGTCTTGCAAACTTGTATTAGCTTCTTATAATTTAAACTAACATGGATTAATAATATACATACATAAATAACACTCATAAGTATGGTTCGTGTAAGTCAAATTTCTATTGCATCGAATTACATTGTCTTGAAATAACGGGTTGTTACAGTAGTAATAGTAATAGTAGTAGTAGTAGGAGAGAGAGAGAGAGAGAGAGAGAGAGAGAGGTGTTCATTTTCTATTTTATAAGTTATTAAAATATTAAATAAATGTTAAGAAAATGAAAAATAAAAAAAAAACAAATTAAAAGCCTATAACTTTTATTATTAGATAAATAAATGGATTTAACTTTTAAGTGTATAATAGTGCAAAAGAAAATTTTGTTTTTGATATTTTAGGGGCGAACAAAAACCGAACTGCAAACCGAAAAGCCGAGACCGAAAAACCGAAATCGAACACAAAACCAATGATACGATTTTAAATTTTCAAAAACTGCAATTTTTCGGTGCACTGTGGTTTTATTGTGAAACCACACCACATGACCGAAACCGCGTCACAATATTTAATATACCAGTTAAATATATATAATAGGTATTTATTTAATAAAATATATTATTACGGAAAAAAGGCTCCTTTAACGACTAAACAGGACACACGAAAAATTGAATTGTCATTAGTTTTTTTATTAATATAAAAAACAAGTTATATACTTACGTATAAACAAAGTATTTCACGATGTGCAATTAGTTTTTCTTCACCATATAAAACTTTATGAATATTATATATATTAAAACTTACAACCCACACATGTATTAAATATATTAATACCTAACCCTAGGACTCTAAACGAACCAAACGAACACGAACAAAGGCATGTTCGTGTTCGTTTGTTTAACTTTAACCGAACAACAAACGAACACGAACAACTAAACGAACAGACTTTTTATGTTCGTGTTCGTTCGTTTAACAATTTAGAGTATTCGTGTTCGTTTATGTTCGTTCGTTTAGTTGATAAACGAACACAAACGAACACAAACCAACATAAACGAACATAAACGAACACAAAGTCAAACGAACTTAAACGAACATTTAACAAACACAAACAAACTTAAACGAACATAAATAAACAACCATGAACCTAAATGAAAACAAACACATGTTCAATACTTCCATACAATAATAACGTTGTACTTAGTTGTTCGACAAAAACATAACAATACAATTACTTAGTTGTTTGTCACTCTATACAAAAATAAGCAAATGATACTTCAAAAAGACAAAAACCATTTTCATTCTAGTCAATTTTTCAATAAACAAATGAACATAAACAAACATAAACAAAGAAACTTAAACGAACATAAACGAACAAACGTAAACGAACATAAATGAACGAACGTTCACGAACGTAAATAAACGAACGAGAGCATTGTTCGTGTTCGTTCGTTTAACTAAACAAACCAAATATCTTGTTCATGTTCATTCGTTTATTAAATAAACGAACATAAACGAACTTCCCGCCGAACGGTTCATGAACTGTTCGTTGAACGTTGAGTTCGTTTACAGCCCTACCTAACCCTATGTCATTAATATAAAGACAATGTAATAAGATATATTAATACAACAATTAAAACAATGTATTAATTAAAATTTACACTTATAATAATGGATGTTATTAGAAATTGTCAAGGTTGAGTTTTCCTTTGAGTCCCACTTCGCCCAATTCACGAAACAGAGTGGGTTGAGTTCCACTATAAATACGAGGTCTTTCTTTTCGATTTGCTAAAATGAGTTGAGCCTGTTGGGGTTTATCAATGTTCTAAAAAACTCGTGGTAGTGCGTCATGGCTCCAAAGCTTGTACATGCTGTCCAGCTTTACCAAAATGTTGTCTAAACTTAGATCTATGTATAAAAATGAATAATAATTGAAAATGCATATAAAAATATTAATTATATACAAAATGGTCGTCTTAAGTCACACCTTACAAACCACGTGACTCGCCAATGTTTGGAAAAACTTGAATCTTGACATTACCGTCAAGTCACGCCTTACATTATTTAGAACATTTGGTTCATAGAGGCACCCGATTCTATTGTGGTAAACATTTATACTTATTTGGTCCTACTTTGGACTGAGTTGATCTGATTTGGACCTAGTTGTACTGTTTTTTGAACGACTTAATGATTTTAAAATTTTTCTTGGCCGAGTTGGTCAAGTTTACAATCTTGAATTTCTAAGATAAGTTACACCACCATTTTATTTCGGTTAAAAACCGACACCACACCGATATAAACCGAAACCGCATGCAAAACCGTAAAACCGAACCGAGGCAAAAAACCGCACCTATCGGGTTTAGGCATATAAAAACTGCACCGATCGGTTTATGGTTCAGTTTGGTCCAAAAACCACACCAAACTGCACTAGACTCACTCATAGGAGCTGTGATGCAAGTGGAAACGTTTCGGACCGAGAAAAAAAAAACAATGCAATCGAGAAACAAAATTTACACTTCACTCATAGAAAAACGTAAATAACAAATTATAGTATGACTTTTAATCATTTGATTATCAGATTTTGTTCGTCATATTCGCTTTGAAAGAGTAAGTCAAATCACACCCTTGTAATTCGTTTTTTTTCTGGTTTGGAATGAAAGCTTCTTTAAACTTCACTCCCCATCCATCTTCTCGCTCCTTTCTATTCATCTGTTCCCGCGATGGCTGATAACAACGACGGCGACATAGTAGTCGACCATCCTTTTGTTGACAATCCCAGTAAATCATACTTTCCACCTCTTTTTGCATCTTGGAATGAAAAGATATGTCCCATTCTTGAAACCATCGACAAGCTCCGCAGCCTTAATGTTATTAAAGAAGGCATCCATTTGCCCACCATTGTTGTTGCCGGCGACAATGACTCAGGCAAGTCGAGCGTTATAGAGTCACTCATCGGCATAACTTTGCCATGTGCACCGAAAATCTGTACAAGGGTACCTCTCATAATAAAGCTTCAAAACCATGCGAATTCTGTACCAGAATTCCTACTGGAGTATCAGAAAAAGTCGGTTCGGATCATGAAAGAAATGCTGATATCTAAAGCCATTAATAAGGCTACCGTGGAGGTTGCAGGCGAAGGTAAAAGGATAACAAATGTGCCTTTAACTTTGGTAGTGAAAAAGAAAGGTATCCCCGATCTCACCATAATTGATTTGCCTGGAATATGTTCGGATTGGATGTACGCAGATCGGGACGACATTTTGAAACAAATATCTTCGGGTATGTTCTTGTAAATATTTTGTAACTATTGGAGATGGAAACGCCAATCAATTTATCTAAAACTATGCCAAATTATGTTGTGTTTCATCTCCAACAAGTGAATGGATATATGATATTATTAATTATCATGAAAGGATCAGTCTCGGGTGCTTAAAAAATGGTACGCTTTGTTTGTTTGTTTTATGCAAGTGTTATATCATATACTAATAGCTAGCAATAAACGTTGTATGGTTTCCACATAAAGAAAGTGCATGTAACGTGGATAACCCATAATCAATATAAATGTAAGTGTTATTGATAGAAAAGTAACTTGTTCCAAACGATTGAACGTAGACAAAATATATTTGTGACTTCAGAAAAGGCATAGAAATAATAAGCTTTAATTTAGATGTGTGTTAATTATATTGTTTCAGGTATTACCACGGAATACATAAAGCCAAAGGACATTATCATTTTAAATGTTGCATCTGCGGGCGGTGGTCTCTCAAATTGGAAGTCCCTTTCCATGTCACAAAGCCTTGATAAGACTGAAGAGCGGACACTGGCTGTCATTACCAAATGCGACCTCATTTGGGGTAGTGATTATTTCAAAACTGCTGTTGCAAACATATTCAGTATTCGCCATCCGTACATCTTTGTTATAAACAGAATAAATGACGAAACCTATAATCACGAAGCTCGAATCCGAGAAGCCAAAATCTTTGATGGTCTTCGTTTTTCGTCCAAGAGTGAAAAGTCCACCGTGGGTATTCCTGCCTTGGCCAATAGGATTCTTCAGATTCAATTGTTAACCATATCGAAATGTCTTCCCGAAGTTGTCAAGAACATCAATGAGAGGCTCAATGATTTGAATTTGGAGCTCAACCGATTACCCAACAATAGTTTGAGTATTCCTGATGCAATGGCTGCTTTTATGCATATTCTTGGTTCCTTGAAGGAAACTCTTCAAAAGATCTTGATAGGAGGCGAGTACAATGAGTATGCAGATGATAGGCAAATACATTGTGATGACCGGTTAGTCGAAATGCTAGATGAGTTCTCAAAAAAACTCCACTCGAGTGTCAAATTCTCTGAAAGTTTCCTTGTTGAAGAGATTCAGGTTATAGAGGAAACTAACAATGGGATCTTGTTGTCTCATTTGCCTCCTCACTCACTTTTGCTTAGGAGAAAAGTGAATAATATCTATAATTTGCCCCTTGGCTTTGTAAAAGAAGTTTGGGGTTATCTTGAAATCGTTTGTGATAGAGTCTTGATTGATCACTACGGAAATTATCCACAACTGCTTTCCTCCATGAGGAAAGCAACTCATAATGTGATGGAGAAAATGAAGTTTGAGTTTTTGGAAAGAGTTGTTGAAATGATGGAGATGGAGAAGGCCACGGATTATACAAGTGACCCTGATTTTATTGCTTCTTGGCACAAGTTAATGGACAATCGTGATGAGTTTATGAAGGCAGTGTGCAATTATCAGGAAGAGATAAATATGGAAGCTCATGGAACGATTAACGTCAAGCATTTATTTAGTGTTCAGGATAATACACGGGATCAAGCATTTGAGTTAAAAATGAGGATGACGGCCTACTGGAAAATTGTTTTGAAAAGATTGGTGGATTGGATTGTGCTTGGGTTGCGGTTTATGATTAAAAAAATGGTGATAAGGGAGATAGAAATGGAGATAGTGAATGAGGTGATGGTGCATGGTGGGGGTATAGAAAAGATATCGGAGGAACTATCGCCAGAGAGGGTGAACCTTCAAACAACCGTTGGTTTGGTCCAGAAATCAAAAGAATTCCTTGAACAAGTCATGGATGACATTTTTATTTCAGTCGATTAATGTTGGTATGTAATATTTTTAGCATTCAAGTTAAGTTCTGTTCTATATAGTGGATGGTTGGATCACACGTTTTCTTTATGCGTTTTTTCGGCAAATAAAAACTTATTTTGTATTTGGGGAGTAAATGACCTATCTAGCTAGTATATAGTTTGCTTTGGTTAAAACTACATTAAAAAAAAACTATATCAGCTTTCTTCCACTTTATAATTGAACTGAAGAAGATTTAAAATGTACCAAATCAAAGTTGATGATATTTTTACAAGTTTCAGCCACGTCGGTGATTGGTGGACCTTGAAACATTTTGACGTTCGTCCTCGACCGGTCCAAACGTATATGGGGCCAGGGGTGAAAAGAAAAAAAAGGCCCTCAAAGAAAAAATATAATAAAGATTAAAAAAGAAAATATCATTTACTCTTCAGTATAGGCGTGTTCAATTAGCAATAACAAACAAAACAAATTATTTATCTTTTGAGCTAATTTGAGTTTGAACCAACTTTAGACCCTAAAAATCATTTAAGTAATAATATATATATATATATATATATATATATATATATATATATATATATATATATACACACACACACACGCTACATAGCCCATAAATTTTGGCCCCCCTGAAGACGTGGGCCCTAAACGGTCGTCCGGCTTGCCTACCGTCTGGACCGGCCCTGCGTTCGTCCACCATGAAATGATACGGTTGTTAAAAAATGTCGGTCCATAGGTTCTTCATGTGCATAGGTTCTTCATGTGCAGATGTGATAAACGAAAAAAAGTAGCAACTACCCTACATTTGTACCAAACATATATAGAAAATAAAATTAAAAAACAAATAATCCACAATTTTTTAATAAAATAAATATGTAGCCACACAAATTTAAACCTGCACACATTACATAAAGCGAAAATAATTACAAGGGTAGTTATTTTTGTTGTTTTATTCACATCATGTAACATCTTTATTTTTATACACATTTAACCATTTAACTTGTTATATGTGTTCACATATAACAAGTTAAATTGTTAAATGTGTACAAAAAAAATTACCGAAATGTGAACAAAACGAATAGATAATTACCCTGATAAGTCATTTTCCTTGCTTTTAATAACAATTTTATTTTTCATATTTGTTTGTATTATATTTTTCAAACGTTATTTTTAAAATATCCATCATTTCCTAAATATTAATTAAATATTGATCAATTTTAAACTTTACTTTTTAATTAATAAATATGTTTTTTTTGTGAAATATTTTATATAACCTCTTATAATTTATTGGCAGATTAGTTGGGACTAGGGTGGTCTCGATTCATTCAGAGGCGGATGAGATCCAGTAGGATTTCAGGCAGGGGTGGTGATAAGAGAAGTCGTGCGTAGGATAGTTGGGTGATCAGATGATGGTCGGCACTGGGAGTGGTCGGGACTCTAGTTTCCGCAGAAGGTTATTCTTGTCAGAGATAGGAAAGGATTATGGTTACAGAAAGCTGCCCTGGGAAGGCCAGTGACAGCGCAGAGCAAAGGGGGTGAGCCCCTTGGATGTCAAGAGCAAACGCTCGGGAAGTACCGGAAGGATTACTAGTTGAGTAAGAGTGTTGTACTTGAAGGTTGGAATGTTTGGATCGTCTCAGGATGATATTCTCAGCGGTTGTTCCAAGCAGGCCAGGTATGTGGCGATTAGGAATAACGGGAGTGGATACTGGGTTGTGAGCCGGAGCGGACTTCGAGGACGAAGTCTAGTTTAAGTGGGGGAGAGTTGTAACACCCCGAATTTAGAAGCTCAAGAAAGGAAAGGAAAAACCCCAAGTCAAAGAGGTCTACTCGTCGAGTCCAGGGAGGAACTCGACGAATAGGAACGAGTTCCGTGTCGCGGATTAAGTGGCCGACTCGGCGAGTCTGGCCTAGGTTGGGAAACCCTAATTTTGAGACTTGGTGCCCTATTTAAGCATCATATTTTCATTCCCTCAGCCTCATCTTTAGCCTCCAGAACCCAAACCCTCACCCACGAAACCCTAGTGCACCTTGTGAGTGTTTGAGCCACCTTTGTGTGATTTGTGTACCCTTGAAGAGGAAGAAGGAAAAGAAGGAAGTTGGACGTTCAAGAAGGAGGAAGTAGATCCAGAAGATACACTCCAGTGGCTGCATTTCTTGGTAATCAAGTCTTCATCTTGTCTTTTGATTTAATAGATCTCTTTATAGTCCCTTTTATGAAGATTTTATTCCATGAATGGGTGTTTGTGGGATTTGGACGTCCCCAAGCAAGATCCTTTCAGGTCTGAGAGTATTGTGGGTAGTTAAGGCATAAAGGTGGAAGCTATATGCCATTAGAACTCCCCATGCAAAGTTTAAGAGGTTGTTATGGCCTTTTGAGAAAAAAGGGCCATGCATGGATGTAAAGGCAGTAGCTTTGCGTGTTATTCCGACCCTAAAGGTTAGATCTGGGTCCTGGATGCTTTGTGCTCGACTGAAATCGTCTGAACAGATGTGGACATAGAGTGACTCGGCGAGTCACTTATAGGAATCGGCGAGTCAGGCCGTTTCCTTGCCCAAAACCCTTATGCTAGCAGGTATGAGTTGAATTGGTTAGGAACTCAGCCAGTCTGGGTTCACAAGGGACCTGAAGATCATCGCACTCGACGAGTTCAAGGATGAACTCGGCGAGTCCGAGGCAATCTCCCAACCCATGAAGACGGACTCGACGAGTTGTTCATAGAACTCGACGAGTCATAGACTGGATGCATTCATATGATGAAGATGAACTCGACAAGTTCAAGGTTGAACTCGGCGAGTCGGTTGAAGATGGTCCCGATGTTATGGTTGAAGGTGAACTCGTCGAGTTCTTGCTAGACTCGACGAGTAGAATCGGGGGTTGTATCATTTTAAAAGAATAGGGACTCGACGAGTTTGTGGACCAACTCGGCGAGTCAAGTCAACTAGATGTTGACTTTGACCAAGCTTGACCTGGTTTGACTTTTGAGGGTACTATGGCCTAAGTGTTATTTTGGGTATTAATAGTTCGGGGAGCCGAAGGATCAGCAGTTCAGGAGTCGCCTGATAGCAGTCAGAAGTGTTCAGCTAGTCTTCAGCAGTGCAAGGTGAGTCTCCTCACTGTTTGTATACGTCTAAGGCACCAATGTCGGCCCATTATGTTTATGTTTATGTGTAGTAGGAAGATCTGGGGGTTAACCCTAGGCACTCATTGTTTATGTTCCGGGTTTCGACCTGATGCGGGGCGAGGCCCAAGGAAGGTTAGAATGCTAGAGGTCTTTGTGATTGTTGCATGAGTAGGTATGATAGGTTTAGGACCGGGGGTCCAATGTCGGGGTAAGCCAGTAGTATGTTAGATGATAGTATGTCTCCGGGTCGGGGGTCCGATGTCGGGGCAATCCCGAGGAAGATTCTTATGTTGTATGTTAGATTATACATGTTGTCTCTGTGATATTTGTATGTGCCTGGTAGGGAGGTGAGGGTGGGCGAGGTCCCGTATCTCATCACTAGCTTAGTATGGATGGGGTTTCATATCTCAACATTAGCAGAGTAGGGGCGTGGCCCATGATAGGAAGGGAGTGACTGTGGGTGGGGGCCCGTATCTCACTACTAACAGGAGTATGGACGGGGTTCCACAACTTCAGTAGCAGGACTGGGGCGAGCCCCTAGATCAGGGAACAGTTAGAGAGTGTTTATTTGTTAGTATGCTATTTGATTGTATGCATGTGTATAGCAGGCGAGGGCCAGAGGTAGGCGGGGCCTAAGAGAGACATATATGTATACCGAGCAGGGCTCGATGCCAGGTGGGACCTGATGCCAGGCAGGGTCTGATGTCGGGCGTGGCCCGATGCCGGGCAAGGCCCGATGCAGGGGGCGGGGGCCCAATACGTGGTTATGTGTTCTTGGTTATGCGTATATGGTATGTTGTAGGTTGGGGAACTCACTAAGCTTCGTGCTTACGGTTTTCAGTTTTGGTTTCAGGTACTTCCGGTAGCGGAGGGAAGAGCTCGGTGTGATCGCATGGCACACACACCAAAGGAGTTTTAGCCTGGGATGTTTACTTTGATAAAACGAACAAGTGTTTTGAAATGATACTATGTTGTGTTATATAATCCTTTAGTTATGGTTGAAATGACTTCATACTTATGGTTTTATTAATGTTTTAAAAAGAAATTTTTGGTCATGATTTTTGGGATGTTACAGTTTGAAGGTGAAAGAGGTTGATGAGGGTGAGGTTCAAATGAGTTAAGGGTGTTTATATAGGTCACAAGTCCGAGAATTAGGGTTTGGTCTCTCGGCACATACACCCAATGTAATTCTGGTACGCCCAGCGTACGTGTTGCCCCACCGCGATCACCTATGCGTAGTACGCTAAGCGTACTCATAAGTACGCCCACCATACTTAAGGGACCAATATGCTAAATGGAATTTCTTCAAGGGTTTCAAGTCATACCTAGATTGGAGTGTTAAACTCTCCCCTAATTGCACTAGACTTCGTCCTCAAAGTCTGTAGCTATGAATAGATCGGGGTAATGCTCCCGCATCTCCTCCTCCGATTCCCATGTCCATTCGGAGCCTCTTCGGTGCTGCCATTGCACCTTTACCAGTTTCACCTCCTTGTTCCGAAGACTCTTTTTCTTCCTATCTAAGATGTAAACTGGCCTCTCGAAATAGTTCAGACTCTCGTCCACCTGAATATCGCCCAGTGAAATGACTACGGACTCATCAGTGACACGCTTCCGAAGTTGAGACACGTGGAAGGTGTTGTGAATCTGGCTAAGCTCCTCTTGCAAATCCAACCGATATGCCACCTTGCCCACCCGTGTCGTGATCCTGAACGGGCCTATGAACCGAGGCCCCAGCTTTCCCCTCTTCCGAAACCTGATAATCCCCTTCCAGGGCGACACCTTCAGCAACACAAAATCCCCCACCTGAAACTCAAGATCCGATCGCCGTCTATCAGCATAAGTCTTTTGACGGCTCTGCGCAACCCGTAGATGGTCACGCACCTGATA